TTCTGGAACCTACTTTATGACATCAGAGGCACCACGCTATCGTGTTAGCCTCATGTCAATATGCACACTGCCTCCTTAGTGGGCTTTAACAATCATGATACTAATTTAGTTAGATAATCAATTACACCAAAAGGGTAAGATTATAAAATTAATTATTCAAAAATATTTAATATAAACACATTGATAATAAAAAATATTTTATTTAGCACTATAAACTATGAACCAACCATTTTATTAACGTCAAAATAGTTTTATACATTTAATACATTTATGAACTAAGTCCATAACAATAAAGGGAATAAAAGTCCATAAAAAATGAAATTAATAAAATTTATAAACATAATATACATGACCATCATCAATATCACCTCTTATTAATAAAAAATTGTGTTCAGGCTATATAAATTAAAATTTTCATTGTTATCGATAATTATCTAATCTAAATAGGTTGATACTAACGATTACAAGCAAATTTTATCAAAAAAAAAGTTAATGTCCGATAAAAGTGCTTATTCTAAAGAATATAAGCTCATTACAATGGCATTGCTTGAGTGATTGGTGCGCTATCCGTTGGTGGTGTAGTACCGACATTTGGGGAACCAGTTCCTTGTCGCTTTCTATGATGCTTATCACCATGCTTATCATCATACTTGTCATCATGCTTGTCATCATGCTTGTCATCATGCTTATCATGCTTATCATCATGATCGTGATGCTTAATCTTATAATCATAATGCTTAGGTTCACCACAACCATCACATGATAAAAATTTTAAAAGGTCAAAATGAATATATGCGCAGAATGGTTTAGTACCACCTTCGCCATCAAATTTCAAATTTAAGTCATCAGTCAAATTATAGACAATTTTGTCATTACATCTGATAAAGACATTAAATTTATTTGGTTCTTTAATGCCTCTTGAAAATAACCCATAGACAAAGGTGACTGGTGCAGAATCGTCTCCGACCAAAGTAACAACACCGGTTAGGTTGGAGTCATCAAATGTTGCAGTTGCAGCGATGTAGTCGTAACATTTTTCATGACGTTTAAGTAAAGGACTAACAGGATTAAAGCTTTGAGGAATTTTTCCTCCGGATGATTCATTGATCATAGCAATGAGGAAGATTAATGCAAAAACAAAATATTGAATTTTCGACATTTCTTTTTTTTCTTTAGTGATGAAAATTGATTGTATTATTAATTAAAAAGATTATAAGGAAAATATCAAAATATATATATGAGTAAAGATCAAATGTATTGAGCAAAGATCAAATGAATTGATGAAGAAAAAAAATTCAACGAGCAAGCTGCTGCTTAAATAAAAAAATTCTACTAAGGGGTAAAAAGCAATAATTCCAAAAACGAATCGTAGATTCCTCGAGCGTAAAACAGAATCATGTTGTGACCAGCAATTAATAGTGATAATTATACGATTATAAATAGGAAATTAATTAAAGAATCTTTGTAAAGTCCAAAAATACTAAACTTTCAA